GTGATATTAAATATACCATAAACCACATCTAGGTCCTGGCGAGCATCTCATGCATTGATCACTATGTTGTTCTTTTGTCACCCTCATTCTTCAGTTTCAGGAAGTCCTTTTTAAAATGCCCTGGTTGGTTGCATTCGAAGAAGTTACGACTTCCTTCTATCGCAGTGGTTGATGTTGTAATGGTTGGGGTCTTTCTGCAGTACCTCGAGATATGAACTCTTAGGTTACACTTGTTGCAGATTATCCCCTTGGAATTTCCGACATGGTGGAAATTGCATTCGTTATAATGGGGTAAAGTCACAGAGTAGGACTTGGATGGAGTGGGAGTATTTGAGTCGTAGACAGTCACAGGTTCTTATTTGGGCTTGAGGAGTTTAAAGTTCCCTTTGGATTCCTCATGGTACTTTTGTTTCTTACCCTTTGCCTAGTTTTGCTCCGTCTATCTGGTACTCGGACGAAGATATTGTTCAGTCAAATGATAGGCTAGTTGTTTTGCACTATCAAAGGTAGTGGGTCTGAATGCAGCAACCAGACCTTGAACTGGGGGAGTTAGCCCCCAAATGTACCTTTCCATCTTTTTGTATTCTGAGTTTACTATACTTGGGAAAAGGTTGGCGAGGTAGTTAAATCGGGAGGTGTGAGCAGTCATCTCTGACTCTTTCATAGAAAGGTTCAACAATTCTTGTTATAGGGCCTGAATTTCTTGTTGAGGACAATACTCCTCGATCAACATTTGTTTCAGGTTTTCCCAAGATATGGAATAAGTTGCATCAATTCCTATAGACTTGGTATGGTTATTCCACCAAATTAGGGCAGAATCCACTAGCGTACAAGTGGCATACTTAACACGACAGTCATTAGCACAAGAGTTGATACGGAACACTGCATCCATCAACTCTATCCAACGGGATAGACCAATAACTCCTTCCGTATCGAAGAAGGATGGGGGTTGGTAGGCTAAGAAATCCTTGTATGAACAGGATATGGGGTTGTTTTTGTTAAAGGTTGGAATATCGTCATTACTTCCACCCTTCATGGAAGATTTGTTTCGGGCAGCCTCATACGTAGCTAAGGTTGTGGCAATCCCTTGTGCAATCATGGTTTGCATTAGTGTTGGGTCCATTTGAAATACTGGTGGTAGGTGGACTCGCGGATTCCTTCGAAGGCCTTTATCCTAAACATTTAAAAAGGCACACTTAAGTTTTTTATACTACTTAATCATAAACAAATATGTAGGAATTGTATTGTATGATAGTGTATTAATATAATTTGTTCTTAGAATCCCATAGGATTCCAAATTATAGAGTGAGATTGATTCTTGAAATCCTACCGGTTTTCAAATTATAAGGGAAAGGTGATTGATTCGGAAATCCTCCAAATTTACAAATGATAGGGAGGGAATTGAGATCCTCATGATTTCAAATAATGGAGAGAATTGAAATCTTTTTCATGTTTGGAAGGGAGAAGTTTGGAGACTATTGAACGATTGACTAAGAAGTTATGGGTCTCTATGCTACGAAGGTAGCAGAGTTATCGGTTCTTCGGATTTGGTGAATGAGAAAAATAAGAATGTTATCCAAAAATTTAAGTACTTTTATGAATTAAATGTATACGTTGTTTTGGGGTTGAAATAAGGTTTCTAAGGTACTAGGTATCTGCAGCGAATCTTGAGAACATTCTTCAATCTCAAAAAACTTTCAACCGTTGTAGTTTGTCAAACTCCTTGCTCAAGGTTGGTTGTGCACATGGCCCGACCACAAATAACATATGCGCGCATTCCAGGTTTATTTGTGGTATGGGTTATGTACGGTACTAACCTTTAATTTAGGCGTTTGACCTAAAGGGTTGAGTTGGTAGTTTTAGTTGAAGGGATGTTCAAAATTTTTATTAAGTGTTCTCATCGCGGTTCATAGTATATATAAACTCTTATATATTATGGTTGGTAGGGTTAGTAGTATTTTAATTTTTGTTTTGTACTCCAAGGCTAATATGTACAGAAGAGGGTCAGAAATGAAACACCGGAGGGTATGATCATTTTGGCAATTAAGCTATTCTGAAATCCAACAACCCTATGCGACACTTCAAACTAGATTCCCTGTACCGTACGTAGCCAAGAAGTAGTGTTATTATTAATAATACTTTTATTAGAAGCTAGTTGCTATAGTTGTATTTCCTATTTCGAGGATACGGGTTCACTATAGCCAACTTAGCTTTGATACCAATCTGTCACACCCCCGGTCGAGGCGGCGGAATATGTCGGGTTGTGCGACTAAGTTCATGGATCACAGATAAACTGATTATACAACACAAGTATAACAACAAACAAAACAACATTTGTATTCCATCATTATGTTTCAATACAGGGTTCTTACAGATAATAGTATTAACATATAAATTGCCTTAAATAGGTAGGCGGACATAATAAAAGTAGTAAACTAAATTGCCTGAGATCCCTGATTATTCGTTGTCTGAATTTTCTTGATTAATGATTTCTTGAGAATACATATAGTTTTGAGGGTCAACACAAGGTTGGTGAGAGTCACAGGTTTTCTGCTAGCTGCTGTAAGAATACTTTTAAAAGCATTTCAAAAAGTGTTTTCTTTATGAGTAAACCATATTTAAATAAGCTTTGAAAAATCTAAACAGTGTCCTGACATAAATAATTTCATGCTTAAAACGATTTTTAAACGACCAAGTTTAGAAATGGTAGTAAGAGAGAGAGAGAGAGAGAGAGAGAGATATTCAAGTTAATGTTTATAGCGAGTCATATAATCGAGATATATGAATTGAATGTACCCGACTAAAACGCTTCATTGGACGTTGTAGTAAAAATTGTAGACACCTATCACCCGCTTCGATTGATCAGTCGAGGTTGTAGCTAGCAACCGCATGTGAGGATGTCAACCTCTTATAGATCTATACATATATATCTCGCTCCGAAGATTAACGATTATAATAGTTTGGGTATGCTAAGTGTTTAGACTCAGCCAATGAATAACGTAGTGTCTCACTAAAAAGCCCTGAACTAAAAAGTTTGTGAATAACTCTTAGCCCTAACTTACTTGTGGGTAAGTTCTAGGCGTAATGAATTTCATGACATCAAGTTTATAAAAGTCGAGTATGTTTTCCATGTGTGTAAAGTAAAATGCACTAACTTTTATATCGAAATATGTTTATAAACTCTATAGTAAAAGGCATATGTTATTTCATGGCATCAAGTTTATAAAAGCCGAGTATGTTTAACATGTGTGTAAATTATAAGGCACTAACTCCTATAACGAAGTATGTTTCTTTTATAAACTCTATAGAAAAAGGCATATGTTATTTTAATAGTCGTATAATTCTAACAACATAACGTACTAGGATATCGAAGTTTAAAACGATATTGTTTACTTATAATATATATAAGTGTTGAACAATACTTTTCAACTACTATGCACAGACATGGGCCAGACATGAAACACTGGAGGGCAGGACCATTTTGACATTTAAGTTGTTTTGAAATCCAACAACCCTATGCGGCCCTTCAAACCAGATTCCTCGTACCGTAAGTAGTTAAAATGGATTGTAATAACATTTTTGTATAATTTATAATACTTAGTACATGTATTCTCCCCCAAAATAAGTAAATACAAAATAGGGCCGTAATACTCACCTTAGTGTGCGATTAACGATTGGTTTTCGAGGATTTATGCGAAGTCCGGGACGTGTTGTCGTGAAGTCGTAATTTCCGAGATTAATTCGATTTCCTAGAAGATTTCGATATACATTAATAGTTAGGAGTGATTTGATATTTTGACTAAGTATAATGATTTATTGAATAATTTTTCGAAATTTTGTTAATCTAAAATTTATTTAAATTAAAGTTTATTTAAATAAATTTTATCTAAAAATAAAATTTAATATCTTCCAAAATTTGAATTTAAAAATTTATTTAAATTAAAATTTTTTTAATAATTTTTTTAAAATTTAATAATCTAAGGTATATAAAATTTATCAATATCATTTAAAATAACTTTATTAAATTTTATATTAGAATTTTGGATTCAATTGAAAGGATTTTCCACCATAGGGTAGGTTTTGTACATTTTAATATGAAGTTTAGATGCTTAGGACTAGTTTTGTAAGTATTTTTGAAATTGGGTTAAAACAATTAATTTGGAAAAAGGAAGTTTGAGTTTTAAATGGTTTCATTCCCTGTGAATGTATGCATGAACGAAGTGTTAAAAAAAATGAAAACAGGTTTTGGTTGGATCATTTGCGATCGTCGACACACGAAACAAACAAAATAACAACAAAAATAAACGGTGGGTTATAAATATTAGAAAGGAATGTTTTTTTTTTATATGAAAACCAATTAACAATACATGACTTTTAATAAGAGAAATTAAAACTCGGAAGGTCCCTACAGTTTGATTTTGTTACGCTCTTGGTCACTGTTTTACTTAAAAATACTATTTTGCCCTTGATTTTTTAATTTATTTAAATAAGGTGCACTACTAGAAAAACAGCATTTTACGACACGCAATGTGTGTCGTAAAACGCTCAGACGACGTGCAAATGCGTGTCAAGGAAGGCCCTGTCATAACGAGAGACGACACGCTTTTGCGCGTCGTTTATAGACGACGCGCAGTTACGACACGCATTTACGACGCTCATTTATGACACGCAATGCGTATCAATGAAGGCCCTGTCATAAAGGAAGACGATACGCATTTGCGTGTCGTAACCTTACGACGCGCGTTTAGGACACGCAATGCGTATCATTATAGCCCCTGTCATAAATGAAGATGACACGCATTTGCGTGTCATAAACTTCAGCAACCATTTACAATATGCATATACAACGTGCCTTTTCGATACTCTTTTACGCATAATACAAAAATATAGAAACAAATATATACCAAAACAATCAATTTCATTCAATAACATCATGTCAAAAAAATTGTAATACATTGATATTAAAAGAATATGATTGTACATTGTTATTAAGAGGTTTTCCCTAACTATATAAATTAATACTACATTACTATAAAGGGGCACCTTCTTGTTTAAGTAACTCATCATTAAGCTATCCTAAGAAGCTCTGAAACTCTTCATGTATCCAACCAATCATCATGTCTGTTAGCTTCAATATCAATCCTAAATCTTGATCAAGAACAACGTTGTCCACATAGATATGTATATATTAAATATTTACATCTATGAATATAAGGGAAACTTGCATGAAAGACTAAAAGGTTAGTGAACAATATGTATAGGATACCTGTAAATCAGTTTCTCCAGGATATGAAATGAGTGTTGTAAGTGATATTCGCACAATAATGTTGAGCAAGGCTTTTCCCTGAGTATGCTCTGTAGAAAATCTAGGCAATGCTTCTCTGGAACGTTGCATCAGAAGTAGTGTAACCTCATCAATGGAGTACGATTTTTATAAATATATAAAATAGTTGAATAATCAAAATAATATGATCTAATATACAAATAAAAATAAAAAGATAGCTGAAATAAAGTATTAATTTAACAATTCTTTAATTAGAAAAATCAATCAATGTGATTTGAAATGTTGTATTAATTTACCTGCTCCACTTTCCCCAATCACCAAAATGGAATTGCTCTTTCCCTCATTGATAATAGCCCTGTATATTATTCCCATTGATTGGAATTAGATATTAGCTTTGATGATGAAGCTATTGGTAACTTATTCATAAAACAAGAATGACCTATAAGAGACATCAGCAACTGCAACAACATGGGGACTCAGTTCTCTAAAAGGTGCTCCTTTGTATTCATCCATCATATGACTATTATACGAATGAGGTAACTTTTGGAACAGATTGATTGCAGTTAGAATATTGCCAGTGTAAGTCTGTCACCATTTGAAACATGTAAAGAAACAAAGCAATCTTAGTTAGGTTTTAATTTTAACATGAATAAGGAAACTTACATCAATTTCACTGAGTTCATATTTGCTTCTTATGTTCTGCAAGACTCCTGGCTCATGTAAATAATATGGTTTTGTCATTTCATCAACACCACCAGCAGGAGCTTCTGTATCCTTTGGACACTTTTGATAATTTAGCAACAACCTAAAAGAGAAATCATGAAAAAGCACTCATGTTTTAAACAATCATTCATTAAGAGTAAGATGAAAGTATAGTTTTTAAAAATAAAATGTGAAGTACAAACCTTTTTTAGGTCAGGAGTCTCGATTTCTGCTTCTTGACCAGTAATTTTGTAACCTGCCCATCAATCCATGTTTTGTCTGGGTCTTCAACCCAGAAACAAGATCCTACTATGATATTCACTGAAGTGCTCTGTTGTACATAAAGTCACAGACACAATTTAAGTCTATGCAATATTGTTAACATATATCAATAGTATACGTAAGTAACCATATGCATACGTAAGTAACCATATGCACATAAGGATGAATTGATTGATTGATTGATTGATGGAAATATAAATGAATGAATGTCGGTGTGTGGAAAGGTTTGCCTGTTAAGCTCCATAACAACATACATACACTATTTTGGTAATATTCACCACTTGATTCAATATCTTCATCATCTGAATCCTTTTCATCAATCCCAATCGTATCATCTACCACAGGTTTATCCAACTCTATGCGTTGAACTATATTATATAAAAAGATAATTAGAAAAATAAATTTATGGATAAAATCATGAAAATGAACTTACAGCTCTTGGCGACGATGTATCAACAGGAGAAATTTGGTATTTTTCATGGATTTGGGGATCTTATAAGCACTGAGATGATCATCGTCTTTTATGGAGGATAATGACATGAGAGGATCTTCCAGAAACCGGTGAATTAAGTGATTCCATATCTGTGAAAAACAAAACCCACCTTGATTTAATTTAATTTAATTCATATGCTGAAAAAACAATTAAACAAATAAATGTAATATGTTTTTCACCTCAACTAGGAAGACTTTTTCACTGTTTTTTAAAGAACAAGAAATGGAAAGTGCTTGAATCAAGTCCCTACAACAACCCTGGTTGGGTACAGTTACAGTTACAGTGGTGGGCACTGCACTTCCATCACAGCTGAATACTGTGACACTCATTGTTCGGGTGGTGGTTGATTGAAGTGGCAATGAGAGATACATAAATGAGTTGAATGTAACCGAGATCTTCTCACATACAGGACAAACCAAAGTTGACTTATATTGACCCTGTTCAACAAAAAAACAAACCCATCAAATTATCTTTTATAACACGTGTTGAATGAAAATTGATGATTGATGATGCTTACTTGGCAGACATCCACAATTATTGAATCATTTCGAGAAATGTGATTGGCCCAATATTCATCAATAACTTCTTCATCAGGTCGACCATCTGCATCTCTGGATTTTATGTAAGGCTTGTGTTCACACGGTTTAGATCTTCATGTAATCCATCAAACAATATATATATATATATATATATATATATATATATATATATCATTAAATGCTAAATGAAACAAATAACAAACCTGAGAATCATGCTGATTGTATCCACTAAATTGTGGTGCAAAATGAGCAAGCTTTGCTTTGAATTGCCTTGGAGCAAATGGAGTCCTTCCTGGTGCCCATAACTTCCTCAGTAACTCACCAAATGCTAAAGCTAACTCACCCTACAAATTACAAAACCAGTATTATAAAAAAACAAAATAATAAATAATAGTTTCTGTTAAAACTTACCACCATTCCTAAAGGGTTATGCCAGTTGATCTATTGGTTATAATCTTCTCTAAAATATCTAGCAAATTCTGGTGTATGAACAAGACACTGAATAGCACTATTCATAAAGCAAGTGTTTCCAAAATTCAGCAAGCCAGTTAGGCCACCAGAAGAGCCACGTGTACTAACACCAACACTGACAGGTGTCTGTTTGGGGCTGTGTTTTATCTTCTGATTCTTTGATTGTAGAAGACAAATTCTGAAGTTGTGACAATTCTGAATTGTTGTTTTTTGGAAGACTCTTGTTTGATGAAAGAACTGGATAGTTAGTTTTAGAAGGCTCTACAAGTCCTGTTGACTCATTTTTAGCAAACCCTTTTTCTTGAACATTGTTTCTACATCCACCACCATTGTCAATGACTTCCACCAAGATCTGTATTCAGAAAAAAAAACATCAAGTAAAACATGTTATGTAATTAATGTCCGTAAAGATATCACTAAAGTAACTCACCAAATTTCCTCTTTTATACCCTTAAGGGCAGGGGCGGACGCAGGATTTTACAGTAGGGGTTGCACGGTAGTAGAAAAAATAAAAATTTTGAAAATTGTCGAAAATTTTTCCACTGCGGCCGAAAAAGTTAGGGGTTGCCGGTGCCACCGTGGACCACCCCTAGGTCCGCCCCTGCTTAAGGGCCACATAAATGGTCTTACCAAATTTCCTCTTTTATACCCTTAAGAGCCACATAATGGTATTTGAGAGGTACAATATTAATGGAAAACATAGAATTATTTGTACCAGAAGGAGGTTAAGAATTATTAGTTTAAGTCGTAATAATCACAAATAGCAACATCTGATATATGCAACTGCTAAAAGCAAGAATCACTTGAATGACTTACGTTTTACCATTTCATGGTGTTAGCAAAGACAAAGCGTTGATTAAGGTGGGTTTTGTTTTTCATTTTTTTCATTTTCTAATTGATTCACGAATTGTAGGCTAAACTTTGAGTTTTGGTTTGACATCTACCACACCAGTTTCTTATTTGATTACTAAATCTCCTTTCATGTTATGATACATTGATACCCACTGCTCAAAGTTGAAAACATAATTTATGGTTGTTTCTTTTACCACACTTCAGATGGCAAAACCAAAAAGCACACTTCTTGAAATCTCCATAAAGTAAACAAATGCATTTAAACATAAAAGTGGACCCGGAACAAATTACAACTATAAACATCAAATAAGAACCAAATTGAGTATATACATGTTAGTGGTGTTGTGGTGCGTGCTAGACTCTATAGAAATCGAAAGTTGGAAAAGTAGTACAGACTACACAAACAATTATTGTAGAAGATGATTTAAAAATTGAGTATTATATACAAATTTATAGTAGTCGGAATAAGAAATTGAACATTAGTGTGTAAGATAGTTAAATGAATCAGAAGAATTAAGAGTCTATAAGATTCGCTGTGGAAGAGTCGGCAGTTTCCTGTCATTCCAAAATCGGCATTCCAAAATCAGAAATCGGCATACTAATTTCAGAAATTAAACCCAGAATCGCGTTTTGGAACTATTGGATTACTGAATCAAACTCGTTTAGGGTACCAATTGGAACTATCTCGACACAGTACCGATTTGCGATCCGGGAATCGTTTGGAACACTTTCGTACCACGATTGGGTACGAAACGAGTCGGTACAGGTTCGTGGCCATCTGAGCGAATTCGGTAACTATGAACAACAACCACACATACAACCCCAACCACCTAATGGTTGTGGGTGGTGGTAGAGAAACACGTCGGTAGCCTAGGCTGTCGGCCACGACGGTAGGTGGTGCTTGACGTAAAAAACAAAAAAGAAGGAGAAGAAAAGAACAGGAATCGATACCTTAGGCTGGAGAAAAGTTTTTCTTGAGGTCCTCTTCCGTCTTCTCCCTCGACGGTGACTCAAAAATCCGACAGCTCTACACAAAAACTTGAACAACTCCCTCTCTAGCCGCTAAGACGAACGAACGGAAGATTAGGGTTATTTTGGGATGCTAAGGGTTTGGAGAGGGGATGTAAGAACTAAATGTATGAGAAATCGGCCCTAACATAAGAGCCCAAGGGGATCTCTACATCAAAATGAGGCTTTCATCTCAAGGGTACCTGACGTCAACATGTGGCTGCCAATTAGGGTTTTTTTTCATGTAGAGGATGTAGTTGGAGGTTTTCTTGCAGATTAAAACCCGAGTTGTGTTGGACGAACGAAGAAGGGTCGGAGGTGCTGGATGTAGGTGAAGACGAAGAAGGTGTTTGGCAAAAGTCCTTTTTTTAAAATGTGTTTGGATTTTTGCAAAAGTACTTTTTACAAAAGTTGTTTTGTAAAATGTGTTTGGATTAGCTTTTGAAGAGAAAAAATCAAAAATTAAAGTATTTGGTTTAATTTTTACATGCAAAATGACTAAAAATGACATGTTTACATATTTATTGGGGGTAGATGGAGATATAAAAGTAATTTTAATGTTTAACACTCTTGAAAAGTTGGAAAAATCATGATTTCGTGACTTTTCAAAAAGACCAAATTTACTCTATTGGAAAAGTCATTTTCAAAAGTCATTCTCATCTTCCCAAACATCTTTTTGACTTTTTCTAAAAGAAAAGTCAAAAGTCATTTTAGAAGTTAAACCAAACACCCTCGAAGGCCCTAGGATTTTTTTCTAGCTAATTCAAAGATTAGCATCAATGGAAGAAGGTGGAGGCATCAGTAGAGGGAACAAGGGAGACTGAGAGAGGAGCAAATAGGAGGGGGGTTTAATTTTTGGGATGCCATTTCCCCATGACTAAAAACGCGTGTTTCATTAGGAAATTATAAAACGACATGCAGATGACACGCATTTTATAATAAGCGTCATCCGTGTTTTTTTTTGTGAGACACTAACTTTAGGGCACGCATAAATGCACGTCCTAAATTCTTCAAATTTCTAAAGATCTGGCATTATTCTAGGGCACACCCTTTTGCGTATCATTAATTAGTGCGTGTTGTAAAAAACGCGTCATTAAAGGTCTGTTTTCTAGTAGTGGTGAGGTAAGTAAGGTATGGTAAGGTGAGGTGGAAGTGGGGTTGGGGGTGTGTTTATTTAAATAACTTATAAAATCAGTGGCAAAATAGTCTTTTTAGTTAAGACAGGGACTAAGCGCACAACAAAAACAAACGGTAAGGATCTTCCGAGTTAATTGTGAACAAAGAGGAAATCCTCTGAGGTTTATTGTGAACAAAGAGGAAATCCTCTGCATGAGCTTTTTAATACCAAAACTAAACAACATTTTCCTTGGTTTCTTAGGTTGTATACAAGACACACAGGAGACCTAGAACCAAAATAAAATAAATGAACAATATTTTTATTTGACATGAAACTTGATAATCACAGAAACATCAGAACAATAATGAAACACAAAGACACAAACCAAAAAAATGATCCCTTTATTTGGTTTTTGATAAACTTATTGTGCATGGCGGTATTTAGCAAGGATCATAACAACAAAAAAAATATTATATTTCTTCAACAAGAATCGTACATCACAGGGACCAAGTATGAGGGACATAAATGAGTTTGGGTGATATAACTTATTGTGATACCATGTTCATGTGCATGGGTTATTATATAAAAAAAACAACCACACCACACTTGTTCTTGGTTTGCAACTAGACTCACATATAATGAAACAAAAAGGAGAAAGGAGGCTCATGGTGGATGAGGGAATAGGGAGGTTAATGATGGAGGTGGTGGTGGCCGGCGATCCTTGACAACAGCATGCAGTGGGGTGCCGGTGTAGTGTTGCTGCCCGTTTTCCTTTGTGTTTCTTGGCAGAAATTGACAAGAGAAAGGATGGAAGAGAGTGAAGTTGGAAGGAGGTGGTGTTTGGGTGTGATTTTCGATCAAACGAGGGTGTTACAAGGTAAATTATGGTGGTGGAATAAGGTGGTGATGTTGGTGGAATTTTTCTAACTCAAGAAAGAGGGAGAGTGGAGAGATCGAGATTTGAGAGAGGAAGAGATGGCTGAAGATTGTGAGTTTAATGGCTTGCTAGGAGCTCTTATTTATACTTAGAATAGTTTCAAGAATTCCCATACTCAATCAAGTGTAAGTCATTCAAACCTAAGCCATACTTTGTACAAATGGATGTGGAGTGTAAGAAAGAAGAGGGAGGGCTCTATCCCATGTGGGCAAGGCCAAGGAGGGATCAATTGGCTGGCTTCTATGCCTAGGTAAGCCATGTGGGTCCCACATGATGTCATACATCCATTAAATGCCCAAAAGTTAATTTATTTTGGTGTATCGGGATCCGAATGTCGAGAAATTTTTCCGAAAGTGTCGTTAGGTAGAGTTTAATTAAAGGATTCCGGAATATGAAACAGATTAATTTTTGGAGTTACGGAACTCCGGAAAATTGCGTTTGAAGTTTCGCGTCTTAACGACTCGCGGTGTTCATTTTCGCGACTTTTGTAAATATTTTTGTTAAAAATATTTTGAGTGTGAAACTAAATAATAGAGTATAGTCTGATTCCGAAAACGTTCTCGGAAATCCCGTCGGCAAAGTGTAAGTGCCTCAACGGATGGATTCGGTTTTACGCGATTAAAGAAAACCAGTGTTTTACTGTCTGTTTTCTTAAAACGGTCGTATCTTTCACATACGAACTCCGTTTTGGACGTTCTTTATATTTTCGGAAACAGGGGAACATGTACTATAATATTTTAATGTTTGTTTTGCTCAAAACTACTTAGTGCAAAATTTCAGATTTTCAGACACATTAATCAGCGCTGCAGTTGAGCGGTTTGATTTGGTTGTCAGTTTACACGTTTTGAAGTAAAATATCATCTGACATCATATCATAATTGAATTGAACTTATTTATTTTAATTTATATGCACTAAAACTGAATGAGTTAAATTACAAACAGATTTACGGTAATTTAGTCGTTTAAAATCTATGCCCTAAATTCCGGGATGTCGCACAATATCATCCTAATGTTATGAGCATAATTATCCAACTATAGTTAGTAATAACTATGTAAAGTTGTGTTCTAAATATGTAATCCCCCTCCCCCCAGGAAAGACTTGGAAAATGGGGTCGTAAACTCACCCTTGAAGCGTGTAACCGTTGACGTAGGGAAGAATTCGGAAGTCCGGAACTCGGGAGGCGCTCAGGATCGACAGGAATCGAAATTATAATAATATATTACTAAAATACAAATATATAAGTTTCTAAGGTTTTTATGGAGAAATCTCGTAGAAAAACGAGAGAAACGAAGGAAGTAGATGTGAGAAAAAGGGAAGCAGGCTGCGACCTTATACACGCGAAATTTTGAGAGTGCGCGTTGCGCAAATAAATAGTGTTTGGGGTGCCACGTGTCAACTTTATGGTGGTCCACATGGCCATCTAGAAGCCTTTGGAAGTGTGCGTTGCACACCCGACGCATATTGCGCGCTTCGCAAAACGTTGAATATGTAAAATCCATAACTTCCTCATACGAGCTCCATTTTTGATGTTCTTTATATCTATGTGTAGCTATGGACAAGTACTACAACTTTCTTTTAGGTTGCATTGGCTAATTCTGATTTTATTTTTAGCTCTAATTTTTATATGATTTAAATGATTTTGCAAAAATTCATATGTCTCTCATATGGACTCCGATTTTGCGTTCTTTTTCTCAAAATTCTTATCTCGAGGAGTACTACGATTCACCTTTTGGTGACTCTAGCTAAAAGTTAACCATTATCTTCGTAGTTTTTTGACATTGAAATTTTGTGTGCGCAGTTGATTTTTATACATTCTAAAATTCATAACTAATTCATACGAAGTCAGATTTCTATAAAATTTATATTTTTGGGATCATTTCGACTTGTACTTTCAAATATGTAATATATATATATATATATATATATATATATATACATATATATATATATATATATATATATATATATATATATATATATATATATACGTTTCAGTGCACTAATATTTACGATTCATGGATGATTTGGTTGATTTTTCCATTTCATCATAATACGAAACTTGTATTTTTGTCATAGTTTGATAAATATTACGAATTAACTCTATTATACTTGACATTTGTTACTTTTGGCTATTAACGGTCGGTAACAATTTTCGCAATTGTTACATTATCCACTCTATCGTATCACCACATCTACAAGTGACTTTTGAATCCACAAGTCTCCTAGCTGACTCTACTATGAAATTGCCATCTGGGCTTAGCACATAGTGAAATTTGTCCAGCCCCTACAGGAAAATATGATTACATAAAAGTGAATTCAGGTTTGTTAGCTCCAATAGGGCTTGAGCGGAAGTGGGTGTTGATTTCCACTGTAACATCTTGTTCTTCTAGGTATTTACCCTTTATACCCTTAGTAAATGAGTATTGTGCAAAGTGGCTCTTTATGGCATATTCATAATATTGGGTGCATCATGAGTACGAGGGCGTACACCTTGGTAAGCCAGGCGTACCTGGCCCCGTGCATGTACGTTGAGCATACGCTGGTACGTAGGGCGTAGACAATTTGGAGTGAATTGTGGGCTTTCTTGGTTGTGAAGGAAGATCATCAAGCAAGTGGCTTTGCTTTCAAGACTTTGGATCCAACATTTTCTCTTCATTGTGCACCATTTGGAGTTATAAAGCTCCAAACTTGGATCATGTTATTCTAGATCTTGGTTAAGCTTAGAATTTCTTCTCTTTTGTCCCAAAACCTAGGCCTTTGTGAGTATAAGGTACTACAATGCCTTTAAGTAGTCATTTTAGTCATTCTAGGGAGTTTTAAGTCATAAAAATGCAAGCTTGGATCTTGATTTGTCCCCATGCAAGAGTTATGGTGCAAAAAAGGATGGAGCAAGTTAGGTTCTTAGTGTTGGGCTCCTTGTAGCCATGCAAAGGCATAAAGTGTGTAACTTTATGGCCTTAGAGGTCTAAATAAGCTCATATATGAAGTTTGGATGTAAGGTCTTAAAGCATTGAGACCTTAATGGGAGTTTTCGCTTTAGGGTGCGTACGTTGGGCGTAAAACCGAGTATGCTACACGTACTGCACCTTGACCCCGATTCCCTTCGCATTGATCGTGTACGCGGGACGTACAAGTTGGTACGTGTGACGTACAACCTACTTCCAACAATTGGGCCATCCTTTTGAGCTT